TATGAAAGTCATATAAAATATATCAAGGAAACACAGGAATGAAAAAGAAAGTGGACTTTTACTAGATTGTGAGTTCCTTGAGGGCAAGAACTTTCTTTTGGCTCTTTTTGTATCCCCATTCTTAGCATAGTGCCTGGCAGACAGTATGTGGTCATGGAGTGAGGGAAAAGGATAAGTCGCATCTGCACTAGTACTCCTGGCCTATTAGAAGAACCAAAAGAAGGGCTTTCACATAGTGAGTAGATCCCCTGGGGAGGATTTGTAGAATGACATGAATAAGAATTGCAAAAGATGAAAATTTAGAGATACGTTGCAACCTATACCAGTGGAAGGAGATGAAACTGGGGGTCCCACCAGATATCAAAGCATCATGGGAGGGTCAATGTATATATTGAATATTTGAGTGTATCTATGATCTCATTGATGTGATTATTGCTTCAAGTGATGCAGACCATAGTCTTCCTTGCTTGCCCATCTGTAGTAAAAAAAAATCTAAGTTTCAAAAACATAGCAAGCTCCAGTTAATTTTAAATTCTTGTTTCACATAAAGCTTTTAGGCAAACCATCTGCATTAGATTCACACTTTGATGAGAGTTACCAGTGTCTGTGGACTAGAATATGTGTGTGTGTGTGTGTGTGTGTGTGTGTGTGTGTGTGTGATATGTGCCATGTGATTGTGAACCAATGGGAGCAGTTTGCATAGTGGTTAGATAGCCCACATTCAGTCAAGAAGACCATGATTCAAGTCTTACTTCCAACACATCCTGGCTGAATAACAGCAAGCAACTCATTTAACCTCTTAATTCTCCAGACAATTCTTTAAGACAGTGAATTTTATGGTAGGTGCTGATCCCTATTTTCTATGCTGGGATTTTCCATAGCGATGAAATCACATGTCTGAGCCAATAATGATGATAACGAGAACATGGCAACAATAATGCAATGGCCTTGTTGCTTTTCAAGGTTTACAAAGTACTTCTTGACAATAACCATAACGAGATATTTAAAGCATTTTTATCCTTATTCTTTTGTTGTTGTTCAGTCATTCAGGTGTGTCCGACTCTTCGTGACCCCACAGACCACAGGGGGCCAATACTATCCATTAGGTTTTCTTGGCAAAGATGCTGGGGTGATTTGCCCATTTCCTTCTCCAGTGGATTAAGGCAAATGGGGTTAAGTGACTTGCCCAGGATCACACAGCTAGTCAGTATCTGAGGCCACACTTGAATTCAAGTCTTCCTGACTCCAGGCCTAGTGCTCTATCCACTGAGTCACCTAGCTGCCTCCTATCCCTGTTCTACTGATAAGAAAATGAAAGATAATAGTAATAAATAAAAAATAAAAAAATAAAGATAATAATAAAAATTAAAGATAATTTGCCCATGGTCACATAGCTAAGAGTCAGAGGTAAGATTCAAGTTCAGGTCTCTCATCTCTACGCTAACGATTGTTAGATTTATCTCCCCAGCCTTAACCTCTCTTCTAACCTCCAGAATCACATCTTTAACTGCTTATTAAATATCTCAAGTCGAATTGCTATAGACATCTTAAATTCATCATATCCCACACTTAGCTCATTATCTTTCTCCCAAAGCCCTCTCCACTTCTAGATTTCCCTATTACTATCAATGGAACCACCATCTTCTCAGTTACCAAGGCTTACAATCTAGGTATCATCCTTAAAACTTTGCTTTCTCTCGCCTCTCATGTTCACTCCATTGCTGGATCCTGTCAGTTTTACCTTTGTAACAACCCTTCCTTATATACCTTTTTCTCTAACAGTGCTTCTACCTTGTGGAGGCCCTCATGATGGCATTCCTGAACCATTGTAGTAACCTTCTGATTGATCTCCCTGTCTCAAGTTTCTTCCCACTGCAGTCCACTCCCCACTTAGCTGTGAAAGTGATCTTCCTAAAGTGTAGGTCTGACCATGTCACCTCCCTATTCACCAAACTCCAGTAGGATCAAATATAAAATGCTCTACTTGGCATCTGAAGCCTTTACCAACCTGCCCCCCTAGTGCCTTTGCAGTCCTATTCCCCCTTACTTCCTGCAACATACTCTGCAATCCGTTGACATTTGCCTCTTTGCTGTTCCTCGTACAAGATTTTCCCACTACTGTAATTGTTCCCCATGCCTGGAATTCTGTACTGCTTCATCTCTGCCTCCTTTGAGTCCTGGCTAAAATTCCATCTTCTAATAGAAGCCCTTCCTGATCGCCCTTAATGCTAGTGACTTCTCTCTCTTGATTGTTTCTAATTTTTCTTGTCTATATCTTGCTTATATATAGTTGTTTATGTGCCATCTCCCTCATTAGACTGTGAGTACGTTGAGGGCAAGGATTGTTTTTTGCCTTTCTTTGTATCCCCAGCACATTGCCTGGCACTTTGCTGTCTGACTGAAAAATCAATGCTATTTCCACTATATTAAGCTTTTTCTAGTAGCAGTAATAGGAAAAGAGATATTTGGATTAGGCTGAAATTCTAGTTTCATCATTAACGTACCAGTCAAGTCCCTAAACCTATCTGGGCCTCAGTTTTCTCATCTGTAAACAGGGACCACTAATACTTATACTACCAACAGACTAACAGGTGATTGCAAGGAAAGTGCTTTGTAAACATTTTAAGTTTTACTGATATAGACATGGACACTGTTAGATTATTATTATTTGTTTGTTGTAATGGAAGCTCTTGACCTACTGTCCAGGTCCATGTTCATGTAAGCTCTTTTGAATATTAATTAGGGGGGATCTGTAAGAGATATAATAGAGAGCTCTTTTATTTTTTTTGAATTGTAGCAAAATCATGGAATATTAAAAAAAAAATAATCATTCTGCCAGCCAGATTTCATTAGGTCTAAGCTTGGGCATATTTGCCAGCTAATCCGCAGGTGCAGAATCCAATCATCAGCTTCTCGGATGTTCTGTTCATCTTCTCAAATTCTCATCAGTAGCAGCTCGAAGTAAGTCCAAATGAAAATTTAAACTCCCTTGTAATTTCCAAGAGCAAAATTCTTAAAAAAAATAACAACAACAACAACACTAAAATTAAAGGGTAGGGGGAGTGGAAGCTTTTCTACTCTAGCATGTACTTCTTATTTTCATCAAAGGAAGAGACACTAACACAGACTTCCAGAATGGCAGCTGGCCCCAGGAGGAGAATTTTGTTTCTTCTTAAGGGAAAAAAAAGTCCAAACTAACAACCCCAAAACTTCCCTGCTCCATTTGTCTTTGGGAACTGTGTTGGTGTCTAATTGTGCCTGACCACAGGGATAATGAAGGGGTTTAAATTCCCAGTATCTGGTAATGGATACTCCTGGCGCCTTTATGAGATGTGAGGCCAGACTTCGGCTGGGTTGCCATTGAGATAACATTATTGTGCACATCAACCATTTTTACAGCATGTTGCAATGTGATGGGGCATCCCAGACAGCACAGTGAGGCTCTTAGTCCTCCATAGGTGGGCACCAGATTAATATTTCTCACCTCCCATAAAAAGTTAACATATATTATAAGCTAGAGGAAAAGGAAGGTTTGTCACCGGGAAGATGGAGATGCATGGGTGATGGGCACTAAAGAGTGTCACTTTTTAAAAGAATTCCAGCAATCACAATGCTTTTTCTAAGAGTGGGTATGGGACTTTAAATTCTTCCTGCTCTCAGGAAGGTCTGGATGTTTTACATTTTTGGCCAAAGCCTAACCTAAGAGTATAATTGGGAATGTGTGTTCAGTGATATATGGACTCTCCCTGACCCCATTTGGCGTTTTCTTGGCAAAGATACCAGAGTGGTTTGCCATTTCCTTCTCCAGCTCATTTTACAGATGAGAAAACTGAGGCAAACAGGGTTAAGTGACTTGCTCAGGGTCACACAAATAGGAAGTATCTGAAGCTGGATTTGAACTCATGAAGATGCGTCTTCCTGATTCCAAGCCTAGTGCTCTATTCACTGCACCACCTAGCTGCCCTGGCACATAGCATATATGTTTGTTGATTAACTGATTAATTGGTGTGCCTCATACTGAGGGCCTACATTTGGTGGATTCTTTAGCTCTTTCTCTTCCTTCCTCCGTACAAAATATATCCACTGTGACATCATGCTCTATCAGTCGCACTGAGAATCAAACACTCAGAGTTAAAAGTAGCCTTAAACCTCATCTGATGCTAACTTCTCCCTGATCACGAATCTCATCTGTTCTATCTATTGCCATTAAGCCTTTGCTCGAAGCCCCATGGGTCTTCCACCCATTGCCTCCTGAGGCAACTGCTTCCAGTTTTTGGGTAGCTCTAAATGTTTGAAAGTTCTTCCTTAACATCAAGTCTAAATCAGCCTCTGCAACTTATAGCTCATAGTTCTCCTGCCTTCTAGGGATAAGTAATATTCCATTACTTCTTCTTCCCTATAAGCCTTTCAGACACTTGGGGATAGTTATTAGGCCTCCTTCCCTTACCCTTGATTTCATCACCTTTCACTCTTTTCATTTTGGGTGCTAAAGGAAACCTAGTTTCTGTCAGAGGACACTGCATTCTTGTTCACTCTCGTTCTTGCTATGTCCCTTAACACACTGGCCTTAACTGGCCTAGATACTAGATACTAGAAGTAGCTTTAGAAATAGTATAATATGAATTCCATATTTTATAGACCAGGAAACTGATGCTCAGAGGTAAGATGACTTGCTCAGTGTCACTCAGGTAATAAGTGGTTGACTTGAAGGCCCATGCTCTTTCCACTTCACCCAATCTCATGAATGAATGATAAGTGAATTCTTAGACTTCTTCCTATCATTCTGTGAATTTAAAAAGGGCATGATGACTTCAATTAGAGCTGTGGAGGAGCTCTACTGGTAGAATCTCAGGCTCTGATGACAAATAAATGTGGGCAATATTCTGGAGACAAGGCATACTCCTTACACCACATGGAGGATTTCCAATGCTATTTACATAGAGCAACATGTTACATACATCTATTATTTCATTGCCTGAAAGAAATGAAACTGGACTTGCCTTTTAAATTTGTAGAGGATGAATGCTCCTACTGCAAAGAGGCAGATAAGGAAAAGAACAATGAGGGCCCAATATCCCCCTCCTCCTCCAATCCTTTGAGAATCTGCAAATCAATGAGATGGTTAGTAGATTGTCTCCATGAGCTATCCAACTGATCTGGAGTAAAGACCCAGCACCTGGAATTCTACTTCTATCCTTGGTTTCCTTTAGATAAGGCATACCTTAAATTGGAGAGGTCAGGCTTAATGGAGGATTGACAATAAAAGGATTTCAAGGAATGTGACCTTTGTTCAGTCACTTGCCCTCTCAGGGACTCAATTTCCTCATTTGCAAAATGAAGTATTTGGGCTAGATTTCTAAGGTCACTTCCAACCTAAGCATTCTATGTTTTATGTACCAAGTTTCGTTCCAGCTCTGACATTCAGTGAGCCTCTTACTTAAATGAAAGGTTCTAAATGTGGGGAGAGGCTCTCCCCTGTCACAGGGAAGATGGAGATACATGGGTAATGGGCACTAAAGAGTGTCACTTTCTAAAAGCATTCCAGCAACCAGAATGCTTTTTCCCAGGGTGGGTATGAGACTTTGAATTCTTTCTGCTCTCAAGTAGGTCTGGATTTTTTGCATTTGTGGCCAAAGTCAAAACTAAGAGTCTAAAAACATATTTTAAAAACATATTTTGATAAATATTTTAATACGACCTGTTTCTTTAGTAACCTTATCTATTTTATTTTATGCATTAAAATATCATTCTGTTCTTTTTTGCATGTAATTGGGGGGGGGAATAAATATCAAGTCATCAAAACATATTATTCTGAGAAGGGGAACTATAGACTTCACCACACTTTCAAAGACACAAAAAAAGTGTAAGAACCCCTGACTTAGGTCATAACTTGGTATTTGTATTTCAATGGATACTAGGATTTAGATTCCTGTGGGACCAACAAAAATATGCATAGTTCCTTCCCTTAGGTATTTCATTTACGTATTTTATAATAGAAGTCAGAGCACTGAAAGCACACCCTTCCCCCCTCTTTACAGATGTTGGGGGACATGGATGTGGAATATTTCAAATCCTGTTAATTGTTACTGAGGTGTTAGCTGATTTTTCTAAAATGTTTTTTGGGTTTTTCTTTTAAAAAATCTGTGTTACAAGGCACAGCTGAGAGAGAGAAGGGGTATATTCAGAAATTAATGTGATATAAAAACAAAAGACATCAATAAAAATCAGATTAAGAAAAAAAGGCAAGTATTTGGAGAGCTGGGGAAAGCTCTTTAGTCCCTACTGAGTTTATCATTCAAAGAAGAAAAAAAATTAATAAAATCAAGAAGGAAAGAGAGAAATTGCAGCCCATAGGAATTAGAGGACTGAAGAGCTTAGTTTCAAGAGTACAGTTGAATCCTGCAACTGTATTCATTAATTACAACTTTCCTGGTTTCATTTTTATGCATGGTTTTCACATTTTTTTATGATTCATAGAAGCATTGGCTTTAGAGCTGAGAGGGAGCCGAAATCATCAAGTGGGAACCTTAGGAGAGACCTTCAAATGTTGCACTTAAGATGGCAGAATCCAACGTTCTTATTTTGTAGATGAAGACATTATGAAATCCTTTGGCATCATCAATGGCAACAAGTGTTCTACTGAGAATCAGATTTTGTTTCCAATAAATAGCCCTCTATCTTCAAACTAAACTATGAGTGGAAATGGATAGGTAGCTAAAGGGTTAATGAGGTCACCAGATCATTAACAGTGCTCTGTTGGATAAAGTTTCTGAACAATCCTTAAATTATATTGGTGGGCCATTATAATCTAGTCAAAGGGAATTAATTGTTCAGCCCTCTACTCCCAATGTCTGGGGTGAGAACAAAACATATTCTGTCTTTACCTGAATCTGTGTCACGCAGTGTCACGAGTACCCAGAAGCCTCCTCTTAGGAAAAAGCTGATGTTGTGGGCATTCAAGACTTGCTTAATGGCTGTGATCCTCTGAAACGAGAAGGAAACAAAACAAGGAACAGAGCTTTCATTTGGGATGTCTTGTGCCTTGAGAACTTGGGAGCTGCTGATCAAAAAGAATGCTGAGCAGAATATTAAAAGTTCACTTTTCTGTAGTGCTAAATAGTTTAAGGCAAGGGGGGTGGGGTTTGCCAGATTCATTGTCTCTTAGAATCAGCAATTGAAACCAGTTCTCACTCCATGTCAAAGGCTTCTCCCCATTCCCCCAATTCCTAGCTGTGTTATATTGGGCAAGTTATTTAAGCCTTCTGGAAAGAGAGGTGTTCTCATTAAACAAAAAGCTGCAGAGTCTAGGGGACGGAGGGCTGGATTTGAAGTTTAGAAGATGTGGCCTCGGATCTTGCCTTGGATACTTCACTAGCCTCAGATCTGTCAAACGAGGGTGCAGGACAAAGGTCTCTTCAAATTTGCATGTTCTATATTCTAAAATCCCTTTCAGCTCCAAAACATGTGGACCTTTGAGTTTCCCACCCAAACACACTGACTCTGAACTTTGATAGTGACCATCAGGGATGCTATCTTGCAGAAGGGGAAGTTATGCACTGTGCAGGTGGTTGGACTAGATGGCCTTTTTTGTTCCACTCCAATACAGAATCTTAGCGAATCCATGCTTCTATGATGGGAAGACAATCGCTTTTGTTCCATGCCACAGAATCCAGGTGTCAGCAGATCAGCTGCAATGAATGGGTTGTAACCTTCAGATACTTTTAGTTGAAAAGCAAACTCCAATCTTTGCAACCTATTTGTGCTGCAAATGACAAATGTTTACGGCCTCATCTTTTTCCTTGCTTAACCCATTAGCATCTTTTGCTCACTGTGTTTGGCAGTGGTTCACTTACATGTGCTATTGGGTTGACAGGTGGGGATTGTAATCTCTTCATTGAATAGTTCTTGTTAAACTTTCCATGCTATGCACAGGTTCCTGACCAGAGCCATACGGCAGTTATTCTATCATTTCTGATCTGCTGCACGTTGGGTACAATTGTTTGTACAATTGTTTGGTGACAACAGGCATTTTGTCATGATTTCTCAAACTCCCATGCTCCTGGTTTCTGGGGAATCTTATTAAGGAAGGGCATTTGGCTTTATCCACTCACATAATATTCTACAACCATATATTTACTTTTTCCTAATGAAGATCAAATAGATTGAAATATGATTGTCTAAAAAATAACATTATTATTAAAAATGCCCACTGGCTTGCCAATAGAAGATAAATGAGCATTTTCAGGAGTGGTAATTTTCTAGGCTGTCAGACCTTGATTTATTTGGCATCCATATTAACCTGGCTACCTGAAGCAACTGAAGTTATACTTCACCCACATGGGGTATAATCGAAAGAGCCCTGGGTTTGGAGTCAGGAAATTTGGCTGTACTACTAACATGCTGGGTGACTTAGAAAAGTCACTTCTCTCTGGGCCATGGTTTTCTCACCTGTAAATGAAAAGCAGCATGGCATAGTAGATAGTCAGCCTCAGTCAGGAAGATCTGGGTTCAGGTTCTGCTTCCCATAAATCTTGACTATATGACCTTGGGTAAGTCACTTAAAAGCTTACCATTCTATACAACCCTCTAAGACTGTCAATCTGCATTGGCAGAGAGTTTCTTTTTTTTGGAAGTATCTATACCAATGAAATCACAGTTCTAGTTCTTGCTCCCTCATCCATCTGCCCAGCAGATGAAGGCAGGACAAAGGCATGAATTTGTGACTCCCAGGCAGGGTTTGAGAATTAAACCTCTTCCCAAGCAACCCTCCACATACAGTAGTCCCATTTGTGTGTCCGTTGTGGCATGCTTCTGTGCAACTGCTTTCCTTGCCTATCCTTATGTTTTGTTCTTTGTGCAATGAAATTGAACTAGATGACTTCTAGGTCATAGACCTTCTTGTTCTATGACCCTATGACTCTTCCATCTGGAATTCTACCTCTTTGATCTATCTCCTGCAGACCTGTATTCTGCAAGTTGTAACCTTAACCCTGAATGAATTCAATTTCTATTTAGTTTTAGGCTACACATTTTAGTAAGGACATCGACAGTCTGTAAAGGGTGACCAGCATGGTAAAGGAAATGGGAAAGAAAGAGAACCCAAGAGAGAAAAGACAGAGGATCGGGATAAGTGCTTCAAGTTTTGAAAGCCATTTATTCAGAAGAGGGATGAAGTTTATTCTGCTTAGCCTCAGGACATCTGGATATAGCCCAGTTTTTCCTCATCCTTCTTAAAACATTCTTGCAGTAATTGGCCATAGTATTGCATCCTAAGCTTGAGTTAGCTTTTTAGTTGCCATATCACTCTGCTGACTCATACTGAACTTATATTCCATGCAATCCATTAAAACACCTAGATCTTTAACTGCATAAACTATTGGCAGGCCATGAATTCCTAATCTTGTACCTTAGAATTAGATTCTTCGAAATCAAGTACAGGACTCAACTCTTATACTTCATAAATTTTACCTTTTTAGAAGTGGGCACATGTTCTCATTTATTGAGATCTTACTGATTCTGAATGCGTGTGCACTAGCTAACCCACCTGGAAATATGATAGGCATGTATCCTCCAAGTCACTGATAAAAATATTGAACAGCACAGAATGAAGGAGAGATCCTTAGGGGTACTCCATTAAGACGTGTGCTTCCAAATGGACACCAACTGCTAATGAGTACTGTTTGGGTTTGATTATTTTAAATCCACTTGTCTTTCCACTGGGTCCACAAGGAAAGCATGAACAGCTTTGCCAAATGCATCACTGAAATCCAGGAATGTCATGGCCACAGTATTCCTGGTCCAATAGGCTTATCAAAAAAGGAAATGCAATGAGAGGGCATGACTTGTTCTTGAAGACATCACGTAGAATTTTGGAGGTTACTGTTAAGTTTTCTGAATGCTCACCATTATCTATTTAACAATGTAGAATTTTAACATTACCCTGCATCCTTTAAAAACAAACAACTATCCTTTCTCCTAATTTCTCTATTTCTTTTTGTGAGTCCCATTTTCCTTTCTGTCACTCAGTCATCTTTGACTCTTCCCTCTCTTTCGCTTGGCATCCAATCACTTGACAGGTTTCTTTGATCTTAACTCTAAATTATCTCGTAAAATTATCTCATCAAGAGCTCTATTTACTGCATACTTGTACCAATGTGATAACCTCCTAATTGACTTTATCATCTCAATTCTTTCAACCTCCAAATAATAAGAGCTCACATTTTATAGGCCTTTAACACTCATAAAACACATTTTTCATAAAATTCCTCTGAAGTAATAGAAGTATCTGTGGGGTGGATCTGGAACTAAATCTCTGATTTCATCTGAGCAGGTAACTTCTCCCACTCCATGATACAGAACAACATCTTCTTCACAAGTCGGTCTAACACAGTTGCTTGGGACACTTAAATGTTAAGTGACTGACCTAGGGTTATGTGGTTGTATGTCCCACAGATCAGAGATTTAGAACTGCAAGGGACCTTAGAGGCCATTGAATACTCATTTTATAAATGAAGAAGCTAAGGCCTGAAGAGGTTAAGTGACTTGTCCAGGGTCACATATCTAGTAAATATCTGAGGTAGAATTTGAATCCAGATCCTCCTGACTGCAAATTTGGTATATCATCCACTATATATACTAGTACATTATCTACTATACCATACTACTTATTATTATCCCCATTTTATAGGAAGCATATTGAATTTCAGAAAGGCAGAGAAACTTGCCTAAAATTACTTAACTAATAAGTACCAGATCTGGGACTCAAATCCAGGTTAATTGCCTCTAAGCTCAGTGATCTTCCCAAATCTTTCAAAGCACCCAGAGTAATCTTCTTAAGGCATCATGCTGATTATGTTAGTTGCCAGTTTGCAAATATACAATAGCTCCCCACTGCCTAAGAAACAACTTACAAACTCTCAGCATGACATTCAAAGGTGTCTATAATCAGGCTGCCATCCATTTTTTTTAAAATGTTTTCTCCCCACCATTGTCCTTTAAATATTCTCTATTGTAGCAACCTAGAGGACTCACCATTTCAATTCTAGAGTCCTCATTTCTCTCTATAATACCCTTCTCTTCTTTTAAGCACTAGACCACATTACACCTGCTCTAGGATTTCTCCCCCCACCACCATGTAAGGGATTTGTAAGGGATGTCTGTGTCCTTGAATCTGATGACACATGGTAATATAGCTAATTATGCATATGCCTTATCCCCTCTACTCATTCAAAAGACCCTGAGACTGTATTTTGTTGCAGCTTTGCATTTTCGGTGGCTCACACAGCACCCTGCTTATAGTGGGCATTTAATGTTTAATTGAGTTAAAATGGCCTTTTCCAGGAATATCCGCAATTTAAAATCACAGAATCATGTACATGCTGGAAGGGACCTCAGAGTTCATCACATACAATCCTCACTGAAACTGTGAATTTTCTCTGTGACATTCTCGATAATTTTTCAACTACAAGGAAAGCTTACTTCAAAGGCATCAAACTCTAATGGTAGAATTTCAAGCACCTTTGGTAGTTGTAATTACTTTGGGATAGAGGATGTTCTTCTTGGAACCTGAAAATTACCTCCTTTAGAGTATAATATTCTCTAATTGTGAGTAAGGCTGATTGGGTATGGTGGCACAAGTCTGTAATCCTTGTTGCTAGGAAGGCTGGAATATCTCAAGTTTGAGAGTTCTACACTGAAGTGAGAAAAGTTGTCTGAGAGTCCCCACTAAATCCAGCATTGATATGATGAATCCTTGGGATCAGGGTAGTAGGGACACTAAGTTGCTTAAGGAAGGGGAAACTGGTGTAGGTTGCATATGGAGAAGATTTGTGAGTAGCCATTGCATTTCCAGTGTGGGGGAAATGCCTTCTTAAAAATGAGTAAGTCTGGCTCTGGGTCCATGTATCTGGGTAGAAAACGCCTAAGTTTAGTATGTTACATGGTGTCTTGTTTGTTTGATCACAAACACCCAGATGTGCTTTTGC